CCCCCCCCCCCCCCAGTGATACATTCTTAAATTGATTTTGATTTTGATTTAACAGCTTTATTGATCTTGCAACAAGAAAATATATATATACAAATAATTATATATACAATAGTAATAAAATGAACAGGAGACCAATAGATAGAGGTGCGAACGGAACAAAAGTCCCATTAAAAGATGTTCCAGTGCTGCAAATATGCCTGGGTGCTTCGTTGTGCCATGTGATCAATTAACATGTCATATCTTATGTTAAGTGATAAGAAGTGAAATGAATTGCTCATTTTCGTTTTAGAAAGCACTGTATATATAGTATAATCAGCAGAAACTGAGAAACGAGATACAGTAACTGAGGGTTTTTTACACATGCATTTTTGCATCTATATATAGGCCTATGTTCCGGAATATTATATAAATTATTAAATACTGATAAGTTAAACTTATCAATATTTAAAGACAATCCTCTCTGACTTTGTCTCATTTATCGATTGTGTGATCTTGTTTATTCAATGAGTTCATGCATGCATGAGGTCATATATATATATATATACAGGGTGTATCAAAATAAACGCAATTCATCTTTTGTGCTTAATAACTTTCGAAATACTATTTCTAGTTAAACGCTTTTAGGCTTACTTCAAAGCCTGTTCTTTTCTCTTTCAAACAAACTATTATTCTTGTCTCCAATGCTAGTAATAATTGCACAGGAAAAGATTTAGTAAAACCTATCATTTTTAGTTGCTGTTCAATTATGCAAGTTTACTATGTTATTGTTTAGTCTGTTTAAATGTTAGAATTTTCTTCTTTAAACTTTAATGTTGTCGTCACTACATCTGGAAAACCACGTAAGAACAAATTAAAAGTATTTTAAAAGAGACCAGGTTGTTTGAAAATCCTAAACGAATGCTAAAAATCGTCAAAACATTCTGGTGTCTGAGCCAGAGTGTCATCGAATTGCGATGTAATGTAAACAGAAATTATAGCAAGTTGATGTCAGTCAGCTTAGATGGTCCAAGCCAAAATTATATCGCATTTGAAGTTTCAAACTGAGTTAAAAATAGTGGAAGAAAAGCCGTAATTATACTTATTGTTACAATCCATTTAATAAAATGCAACATTTTTTTGTTTTAATGAAAAAATCAGTTATTTTCATGAGAACGATTTGTTATTCCATCTCAATTTTTTTAATCTCCAATCGCAATAACGTAAAGTATTATTACCCGCGAACCAATGAGTCAAATTTAAGAAACAACCCACTGTTAGAAAGCTGATTGGCTACGCTTTAAAATGAATGTAAACTTTAACGTTTTCGTCTATTATTTGTTTAGCAATTTACATTTCAGTCGAGGATTGCGCTTTTTTTGATACACCCTGTATATGGTCAATATATGGGAATTAAATGGGGACAAAAACTGATCATGATCATGACTCTTCTACGTGTCGAACCTCATTTCCAATTACAACTATTGACATGCATGAAGTATAAAGACGTACAAGACTTTGTGCGTGGTAATCCTTACGATTTATATCAAACACTTGCAAGCTATATAAGCCGTGGGCTGTTGTGCAAAAAAGTGCCTAGAAAAGCAATTTCGTGGCACCCTCCTGGGTGATAGATTTTCTGTGGTTCAATTCATAGAACCATAGATGCTTAATTACCACAAAAAGTTCCCAAGCAAAAAACCTGCCCAACACCGAGAAAATGGGTGATCAGTGATTATCCTCTATTAAATTGTATTAGGCCTACAGCAAGAAAATGTAAAATTTTGTATTCAATTACAACAAAAATGACTTGCATTATCAGAAAGTTTACAAAAACCTACATATAAGACAATTAAACAGTCTCTTATATCCATAATTGTTTTCGAGTTATACGCTGTCAAAAACGCGTTTTTGACCTAGTACCCAGTCCTTATTGCGACATTTTGGTCCAATTTTCACATTTAAAACAGCAATAACTCAAAGACTATTTGAAAAATCAAAAAACTGTTTAAAAGTCTTATATGCGGTTTTTTGTACATTTTCCGATGATGAAAGTCATTTTTATTGTAATTGAATACAGAATTTCCCATTTTTTTGCTGTAATACAATTTAATAGATGATAATCATTGATCACCCATTTTCTCGGGATTGGGCAACTTTTTTGCTTGGGAACTTTTTTTGGTAGTGATGTACCTATATGCCTTTCAAATAAACCCCAAAGCAAGTATTTCCCACATGGGTGCCACGAAGCGAAATAATTTTGACCAACAGCCCATAGCCTAATAGTCTCGAATTTACGTAAATCGCCATGTCTGTATGAACTGATAAAGTTTCCGACCTACACGGAAAATGTGGTTTATGATCCATGCAATTGCTAAGTTACTAAAAATAAATTACTAAATTTCTTTAATTGTTGTTAGTTGCAAATTTGAATCTGAATTGATTTCTAGATAATTCGTCATGTGCAATTGTCATTCTAGCGTATGAAAATTACTGCTGACGTCGCAATTCCTCTTCAGCCAGTTCATGACGATGCATCAGTGCATGCATGCTTATTCGATTAGTAATACATACGCCAGAACAAGAATTATCATATACGACGAATCGCGTCGTGTAACAACCTGCCTTTATGATCTTATTCTTAATTATGATATCCGAACTTCGGTTGTGGCGTGTAGCATGTTCGTATCCACCACCCTATTCCCCATTCTTATAACGCGAATACAGCTGCTTATAGACATAAAACGTTTTCTAGTACCCAATAAAAACGCTGCAAGTTTTATAAGCCTTTATAACAACTTGTTAATTGGTCACTGACTCGTCCCCAGTCGCTTACCCAACGCGCGCTGAATGATGGGAATGCGCTCGGGGCATTCCCATGGTTCTTTGCGTTATACTCAATTTCATCGCATTCCCTTGAGTCATTGCATGAATAAGCAATGTTAGGGACTGTGGAAGAGTCAGAATTGGTCATTATGAGGAGCAGCTGAACCATCACTACGTACGCCACTCTACGCCGATGCGAAGTCCAAACAGATTTCTTTAAAAATAGCATGCACCTGCAGGTAGGTTCCAGAAAAGGCGGAAAGATACCTGTCCAAATAGGAGCCCAAAATGCGACATGTTATCACCACTTATATTTATGCGCATTCATTATAATATTTATAAATTGAATGGAACTCACGACATCTTAAACGTTCAAATTAGCCCTGGTTGTGTAAAATCAGCGCTAGCAACACTGATATTTGAGGACTTCGAGTATTCTTTCATTGTATCAATTACCTCATACTCAGGCTTTCTCAAACCAGAGAATTGATTGTAATAGTATTTATAATTATAGTCACGTATACTCTATGATTAAAGGGCATGTGTTTGACTAAGCAATTCAATGAAAAAATTCCAGCTCTATGCATGCATGGGAAAGTTTTAGAATATGATACTTTCAATATTATCTGTTTGCGTCGCAGTTCAATCTAGCTAGAAATTGCCTTTTCCGACTTTCAATTATGTGAAACCATAACATGTACATAACTATAGAGCCTAGAGGTATTTTTTGTTTACTTAATGTTAAAGAGTCATGCAGTTTCACCCTAAATTAATGTAATAATCAGGTAACGGAATAATTCCGTTATTATTAAGGTGATATCGACCATCATGAAAGCGACCGTTTGAAGACTCAAAGGAAAGGCAACCTATATAGTCTACATAGCATCTACTGTCAACAATATATCAAAAAAGCATCATTATAATATTAACAAAAAGATTGTATTCATCTATCTATAGTTGCTCGCGTGACAATGATGTTATAATAAGTTATATCAGTACTGTTCATGGTGCATGATTACAAAATACATTATTAATTAAAATTCTGTGATTTGGTTTGATGCCGTGATACAACTATTTCAATAAATGTCAAATATCAAACAAATCAATAAACTGTTCTCACCGTTTCTGTTTTGTTGAGACGAAATGGCTCTCGATTCCGTCAGTACCGATAGAACTATGTAATCTTCAATTGCGGAAATGCTTTCTGGTTAACAGATCATACCAAGAAGTAGAATTGCGAGGACTGAGAAGAAATCAGCGTATAATATAGCCGGTAAATATTGAAGCGTGTTGTTTATCAAGTGTGGTCAGTATATGATCTCATAGATCCTGAAGATAAAAAGTTCTCTATATTCCTGACGTATAGCTATAAATATTTATAGCCTACAATAGAAGGATGTACATGCCTGCATGACTATTCAAGTACCAGTTTCCACTTTGTTATTTTAAATGCCCACGTATATATAGCCTCAAGCAAGCTCTTGCCTAGCTTCAAATGCACGAAAGCAGACACACTCGTGAGCACGAATTTATAAATAAACAAAATTCGATCCTGCAGTATGCATATTTTATCCGATAAACATCGGCGTATGATAACATGACTTAGTTTTCTTTTTCAAAAGAGACGAAGTGTCTCAGAGATTAAGCGGCGACGATAATTAGCAGTGGCGAATTTGTTATGAGGACGTTCGCAGCGAAATATAAAAAAACGTATCTATCGAGTATATGTATATTAAATATACATGAGCATGGTTTGCAAGATATGTTGAACATAACCCTACGTATGTAGTTTAAAACTCTGGGAATAGTTAACGAATAGTTGAAATAGTTTAAGATAGTCAAAATATATAGCAATAGACCTTAGAAGTGCTTACGTATACGTCTCGCAATTTTTAATACAGATGACTTTTGGAATGCCCAGTGCATTGACATTGTGCCATTTGTGGGATACTTTTGGGTAAATAATTCATTGTTTGAAAATTACGTGACGTAAGCACTTCTAAAGTCCATTAAAAGTTTAAATCGAAATAAAAGAGAGCCTAAAATTAACATCTTTACTGCATGTATTTACCATTTGAGAGGAAAAACGATTACATTTTTTATTTCGTACTTCGCAATGACGTCACAACTTAAGATGGCTTAATGTGTTTGTCATTCAATTTCAAAACCGATAAAATAGTTTGGAAAGACGTGCCAAAGATATTAGAACATTGACATGACTGCAAGAATACAAATGATATACTAAATAGCAATAGAAGTGCTTAATTTTCAATCCATGAAAACATTAAGCAATGCAATGCGGGATAGATGTGGATCAAATATTCATCAGTCTGACAGTGACGTGACTTCTAAGGTCAATTGGCTGAGCTAGGAATGCAACTGCGGTCTCTCATTGGTCAATAGATACTAATATTAAGTTGAGACTTCAATATATATTGGGCTCGAACCTTGGTCACGAGCTCGAACCTCGGTCTGAACTTAACATTTTGCCATATTGTGCTCAGAAGAATCCAATAACTATACCACTATATTAAACTACTCTTCTGCATGGCCTAACGTCATGAGCAAACGTAAATGACATCTTCATTTAAGATAAGATATGGATGTACCAATGTACACTAACGCACTTCATTGAAGATAGAGATTTCAATAATCGTACTGCTATATTGACGTCACTGAGTAAATTTGAATTTGATAAGAAGTTGAGATGTACTGTATAAGTTTGATACCTCAAGAGTTTGATAATGATTTGGCAATAAAGAATTAAAATATAACATTCTACAGCCATAAAGATTCTTATTGCTGTCGCGGCGTAACTTATTTGTTTTCTATTTGTTCCTTTTCAGTATATTGTGTGATTGATATATACATAATCTAAATGATATAGCGTGCGAGGTAACCTCTCATTTGGCAAGGAAACGTAAAGAATTTTGCCTAAAGAATTTTGGCATGTATGCCTGTGCACGTACGCCGCATCAACACACCAGTGCAACATTAAAAACTTGTATTAAAAAACTTAGCTATTAATACCGATGTACAAAAGAAAAGAAAAGAAAACAAATAGAGTAGTCTCAGAAAAAATAAAGAACAAATAGAGTAGTACTCTGGAAGAGTACCGAATACTCTTTATTAAAAGTGTGGAAGATCTAAATTACCTAGGGTAGTTTATACCAGCACGATTCGCTCTGTATAATTATTGAGCACTCCCAGAGATATGTGCAATTGAGATAAATTAACTGATATTGTTATGTTTTTTTTTTAAATTTACAGTCAATGACGTTCTTCCGTTGATAATTAAAATTTCAAGGTTCACTGACATTCCCAACCCCAACCCTATAATTAGTATAGGTAATAGCATGGTTTCGAGTGGAATTTGGATATAACATGCACGAGTGAGTTTTTCAAAGACCTCAAAATAGCACGAGTCCGAAGGACGAGTGCTATTTGAGGTCTTTGAAAAAATCACGAGTGCATGTTTATCCAAATTTCACGAGAAACAATGCTATTACTTATTAATAATTTACATAAAAATGTTCGAGACAATTGTAGTTTTAACTTACGCGCAGGGGCGTGGCGACTGGGGGGCTTGGGGGGGGGGATGCGACTCCCCCCCCCCAATAATTCTGAACTTTGAAAAGTTGGTCAAAATTTTTTCTTGGTCAAAGGAATTATTTAAATATTAATATTAAAGGAAATGTTATATTAATTTCAAATCTTTATAAAAATCGAAAACGCCGATTACAATTACGTATATACTGCAATGAAGTACATCAATTTTCAGACCACTGACCATGGTATATTTACAAAAATTTCGAATATTCTAGAAATTTTCGGAATTTTAGAAAAATTTTTTTGATAAATGGAGAAAATTTGTGATGTATGGAAAATTTGTTTTATGTTTCGAAAAATTTTGATATGTCCGGAAAAATTTTTGAACCCCCAAAATGGTACACTGACCGAACTTTTTTGGCGACGGGGGGCGTCAAAAATAATTTGTTCCAAAAAAAATTTTCCCAGGTACTGGTCGGTTGAAATGACCTTACACCCCCCTGAAGAATTCCCTGAGGACGGCCCTGGTTGGTCATTTTCATTGAAACAGCTGGTCATTATGGTATGACGCCCTCCCAATCTGGAATCGTTCGCAACTCCCCTGCAGTTACGCGTTTATAGCGAACATTCCACTGGCAAAGTTTTCCTGACTCTGTTATATCACATTATACAACGCTAACAGCTTGAAAATTCCTCTCGACTATGTAATTTTTTTTGTCTTGTTTAAGGTAAATGCTTTTCCACTTAAAAATAAAGATAAAAGCCATATTTTTCAACCGAAGTCAACTTTCATTTCGTGTAGCGCGGCGCCATATTTGTTTTGTTTGAAGCAATCTGTGACCGTTACTTCTTTAAACTAAATTGCTTTACAGTTGATTTCACGAAACTTTGGCCGCGCCAGTTGCGAGGTTGGTTGGGAATTTGGGAACTATAAACACGAGATCATCAAGTTGATTGGAAACCGGCCAATCAAATTCGGAAGTTTCGCATCAAATTATCGAAATTCGTTATGAAATTCCGAACCAAGTTCGCAAGCAAGTTCGCAAATTGCAAACGATTTTGACGTTACGTAAATTTTAAAAACTAAACTTATTGTATTAAACTTATTCATTTAATAATAAATAACATCATAATAATAATAATTTCAGGTTTAAAATTATAATAAGTTTAATACAATAAGTTTAGTTTTTAAAATTTACCGTCAAAATCGTTTGCAATTTGCGAACTTGCTTGCGAACTTTGTTCGGAATTTCATAACGAATTTCGATAATTTGACGCGAAACTTCCGAATTTGATTGGCCGGTTTCCAATCAACTTGATGATCTCGTGTTTATAGTTCCCAAATTCCCAACCAACCTCGCAATTGGCGTGGCCAAAGTTTCGTGAAATGAACTGTAAACTGATTGGCTGATTTAATTATCACAATGTTTTTCCACCAATCAGATCAGTTTGTTACAGATTTTTGCACTGTGATTACAGAAATTTGCACTGTGATTACAAAAAATTGCACTGTTATTACAGAAAATTGCACTGCTGTTTGGGATTAACTGCACTGAAATCAACCAATCACAGTCGAGTAATATCTTTATGTATATTATTAACGGTGTAACCGCTGACCTAACCCATAAACAGCGAAATATGAATCTGATCATCGATATTGTATATCATGGATGGAAACCTATATTCAAGCTGGTCTTGGATTAAACAATATTTCATGAAATATGTGTAAATGGTTATATTCGAGCTGTGTATATATTTTCTATATTCTCGCTAGGTTCCATAAACAACACTGAACGGTGGATATAAATTAGAAGATCAGTAGTGCCGTGTAACGATAAATATGGAAATTATTCATGTTATAGGCGATGAAAAAGAGGATAGAATTGACTAGTCGAAAATGATTTGTATCAGATAAAGGAGATAATCAGCCAATATCATGAGCTTATAATCAAGGTTGCGGTTACTTAATTGCCGTATTTCCTGAAGATTAATTTATATACACTACATGATGTTTGGAACGGCATGGATAAAAACGCCACCTGTACCGATATTAGTAGTACCATATTAGGGAACGTTCATTATTTATACTATTAGGTTCAACTGCTCGATTGTTTGAAAACAAAACAATGTGTTGTATGACCTGAAATAAACGTGGGAATTAGAAATGCTGCAGAGAGGTTATATAGGCGCATCAGTTGAAACATCGCTGATTAACGTGTAGTTCAGGAGCTGATTTAGAATATCAAGCCCTATAGCAAATCCATCGATTTGAAACATCTAGTGAAATAAAACAAAATTTTCAACTAGAAAAATCCCGTTGTATAAGTGAGTGCAAATAATTTAGTTAACAGATTTAAAGCACAAAGAGATTGTCGCCATATTGGTCATTGCATGGATGAATGCCGCAACGTCAAAAGTGTGAGAATTCATAACTTCAGTTTAATGTATTCGCCGATTTAATGGCAATTACATATTCTACATGTCATATAGCAGAATTTGAAATTTACATTTCTATATAAATGGTCAATATTTTGTGTCAGTACAATACCAACCAATTGAATTGCACACGAATTAATGATGTAAAATACAGCAGCAAACGTTTTCGCACGGATTATTTTTGGTTCACTTTTAATTTTGTGCACTATAGTACTGTCTGAGTTTAAAGATAAAGAGCAGAGCCCAGCAAATAACTTTAAATCCAAACATAATAAAAGTAAAAAATTTATTAGCTAACGTTTCGTTGTTTACAATACAACATCTTCAGAGCAATCTAAATGAATTTACAGGGTTTGGATTTAAATTAGTTATTTACATGGGCTTTGCTCTTTATCTTTAGACTAAGATTTCCGCCTGGTGTATCAATTACCATAGTACTGCCTGCGCAAGTCTAACCTAACCCTTAACCCTAACCAATACAGCAGGAATTGAAATATTAGCACTATTTATGCCCAAATATTAAGAGAAGATCTGTACTTAATTTTGTAATGGTGATGTGCAAATTGATAAGACGATATAATTCAATTACTTGTGTAAACAGTTGCAATGTGTAATTCTTGTCATCGAGCATTATACTGATATGTTACTATCAGAGTTATATTATTGTCACAGGAAAATCTAAAATACTCAACCGCATATTGGCAAATATTTCATAAAACCTTCGCCTTTGAGCTTGGTTCTTAATTTTGTATAAACTAAGTAAGGGCGACGACGTTATACTCGAGTCCAGAATATTTCCTACCAATAAACGTTAATTTTGGACAGGGAGACATGTTGTGTCAAAAGTACAGTTAATAATAATCCCCCGCCGCCATATATATATTGGTAGAAGTTTATCAATCCTTCCTCTCTATTAAGCCTCCCGTAAATTAACGCGTCCTCGTATTGATTATAAGCCCCCTCTCTAATTACGCCCTCCCCGAGACATACATAAAATAACCAGACATAACAGGGGTATTAATATAGAGGATTCACAATAGTTTAAATAAATTGTCAGCATCTTCGAAGTACAGTTTAGCCATTTTTATGCAACCATGAATGAAATTTTAATTGGGTTGATGTGTATGTGTATGTGTATGTATATGTTATATGTATAGAGATAATAGCAAGAACTAGAGATAATAGCAAGAACAATAAGCAAGTTCCACGTATACCCACGCTATTTCTATGACAAATTATTGTCCGAAACTATTTGACCCTATTTCCATGGGAAATGAGATTTTATTTATTGGAATTTCTAGATTTATACAAGCTATTATTGTGCCACACACGTAGATGTGGGATTGATTTTTATCCCGTTATTAATTGTAAGAAACAGGAACAGTGTAGACATACGTAGATCCTTATCAAATAAGCTGAAAACAGTTCCTTATCCATTTCACTTCGAATTCTGAAATTGAGAATCATTATTAAAAAAAGTGCACTTAAACTATCATATAACTTCTTCACGTGAGTTTTGGAAATGTAGTCAGTTGACATAACTAAGTAACTTGGCTGAAACTGCTAGTTTAGTTATCTTCGATCAAATATACGTGTGCTCAGATTTCGTGGATCGACGACAGGACCATGCATGCACAAACTGATCGCTGTCATATACAAGTTACGGTTTGCCTATTGTCATAGCTGGGTCGCAAAATGTTAGGATAAATCTGCCTCGTCCTCTTGACTTCCTTTTGGTTAATAAGAATTACTGTTCAATGATTTTGTCCGCGAGATCCTTTTTCACACTATTTCCATAATATACCATAGTATATGGAAATTGCAATTAGTATGAAAATTGGATTTCCATAATATTTCCAACGAAGATCCATACCAGATATGTCCAGTCGCCACAGGGTGTGGACTGAGGTGGGAGGAAGATTGTTTTGAAGGGTGGTCCGGGGTATATGCTACTCCGGAAAAAATTCCGAAATCTATATTTGAAATCTATAGCTCCTTAGTCGATCCCCCGGTTCCGCCGCCAATAGCCAAGAGACGCTATACCCATATCAATGTAAGAGAATTATATATTAATACATCCTGCACACTAATTTTGGCAACAGCATGCACGTCAACGGATGGTATTCGTGAGTGGGACGGTGTAGGATCCTCAAGTGTAAGTATCCTGTTTATTTTCATAATGGGCACATACATTTCCCATATACAACATTTTTATGTTTTCACTGCATGTTTAGTTTTATACAGTGTCCATGTACGTAGAAAACGTTTAAACGTCTCCCCCATGATCATGACTCCATAAAACATACGTAAAACAAAGAATCTACAGAAATAGATACCGATTCTAGAATATAATATGTGAAAACTATTTTCACCAGAATTAATTTATTAGTAATAAATAAAACATATATTAATTTGAATAATTTCATATTATTAAATGCCTATATAATTGTAGGCGAAAAATCCAAATCTCTAAACTTTAATGGGGTTTTCCAGGCAGCATAATATCATGAACATGCGAAATTGTTTTCGTTATCGTTTTATACACTGCAAAAGAAAACTGACTCAAATTAAGAACTTGACACCCACAATGACTCAAATATTGAGTAAAATACTAAAATTACCCAAATTCCTAAGGGTTTGAGATCGAGTGTATAGTGTATTCTTTTCAGTGTCCAACCTGTGTCGTGTCGTATATGTGGACACACCTGAGTATTGGAACACCTAGGTGTTTCCGCCTTAACAGGCAATGAGAGCAGTAATCCCACACGTATATTCACAAGCATACGTATGCCACACCGTTTCCATCGATGACTTCAAAATTCTTTCATCTTGCGCCAACTATGATGAACTTCGCGAGAGTCTTTTAATTTTCAAATTCAAACTTTGCTTAACTGACAAGCAAGGGGAATTAGAGTAGGAAAAGAAAAACAGAACTCCACCTTCCTTCTCTAATTCCGGCCGCATGTGTCTGTAATTTAATACCTTGTAATATGTAATTTTGTTAGTCTGAAGATATCTTTCAATAAATATGCACTTTCAATGAAACTTTTACGATATATTTGTGTATGGCTCTATTTAATTAAAGCATTACGCTGGGCTCTTAGCTTCATCATTAGAATACGTTTCCCTCGACGTTTCCCGCCCGGAAAATCGCTCGTGAATATATTGAATAATCACATTGACAAATTTATGAGCAAATTTACTTATGTTTTTTAGTAAAGTAAATATTTATTCAAAAACATAAGTAAATTTTCTGATAAATTTGAGCAATTTGACTAAAAATGTCGAGTCACTATGCGTGCGTTATTTAATTTTACTCAAGTTTTTGAGTCAAGATTTTTACAACCTGTAATTGTCAATGATGGAACGGAAAGCACTGATTGCCGGTAAAAATCCCCTAACTAAAAAATAGCTATAAGAAAAAATGTTATGTACAGCCACAGTATGAATTTGATAAAATTCAAGAAGCTAGCTAGAGTGTGATTCTAACATTAAGCTAGACTAGAGTCTGATTCGAATTCTAACTATAGAATTGCATGTTAAAAACATAGAAGTGTTCACTTACATTTTATGTGAACTTTGTTGTGTACTGCAGCGGAGGCAACACAGATAGTCCGAGTTTTGTTGCGTGTTGCCTTTAAACTCTCCTGTATAAGTTTAACATTGGCATTGCCTTTAGTATAATCTATATTGTTCTTCCTTAATCTTAAGTGCGCTCAAGAGAGTGAAAAAATGGCTATATATTTGAACACTTTCATAAGCAATATTACCAATATAAAATGTTAACGAAAACGGCATTAAAGTAGCCTAACTGCTACTGCATATATAAACACGTTCTACGATAGGATTGCATATTCTAGTTTAGGTCAAATTTAGACAAATCTTACGATTTGATGAAGAATTTGCAATAAATGTTGAAAATTTTGGATAAAGCTTGCCAAAAATTGCAAATCTCAAAACATCTCCGAGGTTGTGTTTCAATATTTTCAAATGTTCGATTCTTTTAAATTAACAAGGAATTTTAAACCAACCATTTAGACGAAAAGTCTTAATAATATGTCACATATATAGCTAGTATAATTTCAGTATAATTTCATTGAAGTTGATTCTGGCTATAATTAGTAATAAAACAGGCAGGATAGCAGCACTCAGTTGGCTATAAATTTACAATGGCCGCATGTATAATCTTTATTTGGAAAATTTGAAAAATGTTAATATGTTGTAATTACTATATATGCACGGTACATCATATATTGTAACGAAAGTTAAGCGTATCAGCTAAGCAAAAATAAATCGATATAGTAAAAACATATTTATAATTAGGTATAATTTTATAGGATAGGATTACAGTATGATCATTTATTGGCTATACCATGATGGCAATGTTGATCGGTGTATGTGTATTAAATAACACCCACATGAGCCATCTACTATAGTTTTCCTGTTCCGTATGGATAAACTGATAAAGCAACGTGATATACAGTATACACAGTGGCGAAACTAGCTCCTTTTCATTAGGGGGGTGTCTGGCAGAATTGCCCTGCCAAAACCAATGATGCGGCCTGCAGCGCCAGCGCTAATACAATACATCACTAAGGTACGTGTATAATTGAACTGCCGATGGCAATGTACATGCATACGAGCTGCTTATTGTTTGCTATCTGTAATAAGTTACTTAATAACTCTACATTCTATCATTTAAATTGCCCTGTCAATCGGGTTGATTCGTATTTCGGGGGGTGCCACCCCCCATACCCCCCATAC